CCGAAATTTGCTTAAACCTGTGCTAAATGGCAAGGCCTATTGGTCATTCAAAGTGATGTTTTGTTGGGATCCGTAAAGTACTTTTGGCGATGTCGATGGTGAAGTAAAAAACTTTCCTCCGGTGAAAAGACTACCATTGGTGCTTCTGTTGCCCTAGTTTTTTAGTCACAAATTCCTCAGGGGATCATTTAGGGTGGATCCAACCTCCCTTGGTGCATCAGTAAAACCTACCTATTTGTATACAGCAGCAACAGGCCATTTTCTGCATCAGCTCACCGGCTAACGAGTCCGCCGGGTAGAGTTTTTTTTTTATTTTAGTAGACGTACAGAGAATACTAAAAAATTCAGTCCAAAGTGCGACCATACGGGGGTTAAGGTGAGTTCCATTTCTGATGGACGATTTCGTTATTAGGGTCCATAAGGCTAGAGGGCCACTGGTATACTCGGTTGTCAATGCATCCAGAGGCAGAAACCGAAATCACGGTGAATGAAGAGCCCGTCTAGGTATTCTACTCTGTTGCATAGACACCACTCCTCCACTTCTGCAGTCACAATTTGGCCTTTGCTTCAACGACCACACATGAACCAGGGAGGATGATTAGAAGCGCATTTCCAGGATTTAATTGACATTTGATTCCAAAGCCAGTGATACTCTAGGAGTTCTAAAAGCATTCTGCAAGCGTATATCATTCATTCAAAACCGAGCAGTCGAATCAGAGCACACAAGTTGGGGAAGCCTCCTGTAGCTACTACTCTGCATCCATTTCCTAATACTACTTTGTGGGAACGTAATTGTTGCCTGGCAGGAATTATTTGGACAGAAAAAAAAGCGAGGGAAGGGTTATTTTGCCACTTGATTCTGACGCCTTTCCACACATTTCGTAGACTCCGCGGTGGAGTTTTGAATGATGCAGACCCAGTCTCGTAGCGGATCTTGGCTACAGGGCATTGGGACGATGAGCCCAAGTGGGTGTGGCTCCTTAACCCGCTTTTTTGAGTCTAGTCATGTAATATCATCCACAGGACACGTCCTATTCTGTGACGCTTCAATTAGGCATCCCTTCTTCAATTTCGGGGATTTGATTAATTTCAGAGGCCATAGCAAATATTTGCTGATTAAAAGAAGACAGCTTTGATAAAATCTGGACTTTTAAGTCTTAATAGCCATTAATTACATACGTGGGGTACTTTTAGGACGGAAGCTGGAAACCTACCATTATGCGCCTATTTGGTTACTGTCACTGGTATCACGAGGTGCTGCTGTAATTCGTGGTTTGGATTTTTGCATTCTTTAAGATTGTTTACTTGAATAACTTTGTTACTTATAACAAATAAGTAAGCGGCTTATTGAATATTGGGATGCTAAGGCTGAAATCCAGGTTTTTTGTGCTTAACTGCGCAAGCAATTGGCTTTCAGCGGGTCGCGCTTCCTCTCTGCAACATACCAGTGCCCTCCTGGACTGTCTGTTTCTCCACACCGACGAGCGTTTTGTCGGAATGGTATTAACAACTAAAGGGGTCGACACAAGCTTCCTTGAACCTTCTGGAAAAGTTCGTTTCAGGACTGTCCGCAGTACTTGGATAAAGTGAACGCGCGAGACCTCCTCCACGGCTCCGCTGGCTGAATGGACCCCAGAGAGATATAACTAGGCAGCATGGAAGTGGGAACAAAGTGGCAAGGAGGAACAGACGCAAGATCTGATCCTTGGAAAGTATTTTAAACTCAGTCCCTTATGGAATAACTCGGGGTCGGGGCCAATGTTTCAGTACGCTTCCCTTTCCCTCAGAACAGTTCCCAAACAGGAGAGAACCCCAGATCTGGTGATTTTGACAAGAGAGAACAGTTACGTTCGGGTCAAATACCTTCTCAGCTACATGGAAATTCGATGACTGGTAGGTGTTATAGCACCGACCATGTCGCGATGGCCGAAGCCTGAGGTCGATCAAAAGAAGAGGAAGGCAACTATGCAGTGATTTGATATTTTTTTGGCTCTGTATTTAACCACGTGAAGAAATTTGGTTTCGGACCTCCAGCCTGGCCTTCAGGACATGCTAGTGGCCTCCTGGCCCATCTACACACTTAAAGCGCTTGTTTTTCCAAATTACTTTGGCTTATACTACTCCGCCGAAGACTCGGGCCGTTACCCTCTGCCCTTGAAAAATTGGCTTGGAAATCCTCTTAGCTTAAACCACACAAGTTCATATTTCTTACAAGAGGCCTAATTAAATGAGGCGTAAGTAGAGTAACCTCTTATCACGAGGTGATTCACATACAAAGGTCAGCCAGGTACATCGGGTTAATTGCGAGACATGCGAGTAGCAGGTTGCAATGTGATAGTTTAATTAATTCGGGTCAGGTGTAGTTCCACACAAATGTGAACCTCTAAAATTAATACTTCGTAGTTGTAAGTGACCTCAAGAGTGGGTAAAACTTAAAATAATACAGGTCATTCCATCCCCCCCCAGTTGCATTGAGATTGGTCTTGCGGTAACCTCAAAGGAACTGCAAAGGGAATATAAAGACAGAGGAGCTTCAGTCTTCGGATCTTTTGTGATGTTTCGGCATTTCGTTTAACCCTTCGTTTGATTATGCGGGCACTTAAGTCTCGGCAAATTGTATTTCCGCTGGGCGTCGTGGCCTCCGAGCCATGGCAGTCGCTCTGTACATCGACAATACATATGCAGCCCTAGTATTATGACTTCTTTTGGCTTCAAAAAAGATTCAGGGAGCTGCATTGGTGGCAGTGAAAGGAAAACCCGATCCTGAAAGACAATCACTCTTACTTCTATTACCGAATGACGTAATGGAGGAGGGGCAAGAGCTAGGAATGGGCGAATCTGTGACAACTCCTAACAGTGGAGATGCAAATGTCGTCTACTTTCGGGATTTACTTCAATCCTCCTTTCTGCAGGAAAACTATTACCAAATGTAGCTAGGGACAGTAGCCATGAACCATCTGGAAACGTTTTTTTCGGAGTTTTCTACAGTGCCTGTGTGAAGATATCAAATAGGTAAACATGCGATGCCCCCTCCTCCACCTCCCTACTAGCCGGATGGAATCCACTTAAATCTGGATGGGCAACACTGAAGTAATAACAAATTAGCATGGAGGAGTAGACATGAAATCACGTCCCCAAAAGACTGTATTCAACTTCGTCCTTTACTAAATGACTCCGCGTTTGGATCAGTGTTATTTTGCCTGGCGATGGACGTAGGAGATGGCCAGCCCATTCTCTCATCCTCTTAATGCGGTTCCCACACGGATGGAAACTCTACTTGGAGTAGAGTTATCAAGAGGGTTCAGTGACTTTGCGGTTGAGTCTCATCTCAGTTGCAAAGATATTTGATTACTGGTGCTGTTGTTTGGTGGGTGTTTCTCCTTACAGCACCGACTACGTTGTGAAGGCCGACGCGACAGCTAGACCATGGGGAGTGCCAGGGACTATGACCAAAAGGCGAGAGAGGGCCACATACTACTTTAAGCTTTAGCTTAACTCTTCCTTCTGGTTTTGCGGACACTTAAGTCTTGGGCGACTGTACTTACACTTGGTGGGATGGCCTCCAGGTCATGCTGGTAGTCTCACCTCTTCTATTCTTCAGTATTATACCTACTGCTATACTACGGTACCTTCTTACGACTCCAGGGAATCCTAAACGGGCTACATCCTTTGCCCATCCGGAATGATAGATAGGGTGAAAAAATTTGCTGCGAAAAGGATAAAACTAGGAGATAAAATAAAATTTGAAAAAGACAGTGCAAATGCCACGCCTTTGATCATTTCCGTCGGTTATGTACCAGACAAGAATAAATATCAAAAGCATCCACGAGAGATGGTCTTTTGTACCAGTGTCAAAAATTAAGCTGTTCTGTATAAAAGTCAGCCAAAATGGTGCTTCAAAACAAGCTAGACGAGGCTCTTCCTCAGCAGATTTGGCCACATTTCTCATTCAACGAGCTACAGTGCTTACACCATCTGCGTTGCTTTTAAAATGGCGAAGATACTTATAATTACACTGAAGATGGGACGGTCTAGTCTTTTCCAAATTAGTGACTTACATGTTTGAGAGCAGCGGAAATGCGCGTTTGTTTAAATATATTGGCAATCCCCAACCTCGTGACTCAGCTGAGGTCCTTGACCCTTGCAGGTGGAAACGCCCCCTGACCCCATGCAACTACGATTCCGTGTACACTTTTACAACTCCTAGTCAATAAAAATTGTCCTCATCTAACTAATCTGCTCGTTCAAAGGGTACGAATGCGGAGGTGTAGGGGAGAAACGCTGAAAGCGTAACGCAGCGATGCCCTATGACTTTTAAACATACAAACAAAGAATTATAGCTTAAAAAAAGGGATTGTTTGGTCGAAAATAATATTTGGCTGTAGAAACTAAAGCATAAATTCCTCCTATCCCATTGATACATAGACCTTAGAATTCTGTACGTCTGCCATCAGTGTCACACACATTTGGTCTTCACCAGGTTGATGATGACTGGATGCATTAATCGCGCTGCAAGCAGACTGCTTGAGTGGACAACAATAGGATAAATGCAAAATCTTCTTGGTCTGAGGCTGCAGTGGTCGATTTTTTGCCTAGAATCTGGGAGCTATAATTACACTAATTCAGTGGATTTTTACGATCAGCTTCTAAGATATCCGATCCGGAGATTTCCACCACTCGTTGAGTCCCAAGTAGCTTCGGATTGACGTCCCATTTAAGTGTCAGAGACTGATAAGCTGCTTTGTGCTGCCCCAAACCGGCGGAATAGCCACACGTTCGTTCACACCTTCGATTCAAATGAAACGCCCAGCAGTAGTTATGACAACGAGGCAAGTCAGCCAATAGGAGGGCGAGAATACCTATTGATCGGATGCTGTGCACGCGGCGTTGGTGGGGGGTTTGACTGACACTCCCTCCCCAAGTGTGGGTATGTGCACAGCGGGATAGATGAACCGCCGCATCTGGTCCACCAGGGGGATTAATTAAACACCTTTTCGAACATGGGCCGTCTTGGTAAGTTGCCTCTTCTTAGCCAGCCCCCTTCTCTTGCCCCACAATAGCTCCTGAGGTTGTGTCACAGATTATTTAACAAATGGAAGCCGTCCTCGTGTTTTCACCTTGCTAGTGAATGACGTCATAATATTGCATCTGGACTGCTAAGATAATGCTAATAAAAAACATTTTTTTCCAGGATGGTAAAATCGACAAAGGTGGCGGCCTGTAGCACCCCTGACTGTAGATAGTGGCAGACAGAATAAAAATCTCTCATTTAATGATATTTAAAAATAGCACGTGATACTTTAAGGAAGTGAAATAAAGCATTTACTACCGCATAACACGAAAGTTCACCAGAGTAAAAACATTCATGAAACGAAACGATGGCTCCAAAATATAATAACAAATTATTCAGATTTACAAGGAGCACAGATCATACTTTTCCTTGACTAATGCTCTATAATTTATTTTGTTTTTTGTTGTACAGCGAATTAAAAGAAGTACAGGTAGAGTTTTGAAGTAACAAGCTTGATATCGCATCGCATAAGCCTGTTCATTTGTTACCTAGGTCTACTTTTATAAGTAAAACATTAACTTGATTTGCCTTGGATTCTTTAGATTACTTCTCCATTATATAATAATATGGTTTTCTTTCTCGAATGGTATCTTGAATCTCAATACCACTCTTATGTTTCGCACCCGATTGGCCATAATGTCAGGACAAATTAATTAAATCCTATAAACTTCAGGAAAAAAATCATTTTAAATATGGGATGTTTGAATAGGAGGCATTTTATTCATGCCACGATAATATGACCCAAAACTTTGTTTTGCAAATCTACTTTGCGTTATGCTGCGCTGTAACGGATTTACAATGATGTAAGAATTTGTGTGTACTACCATTTTCAACAGTCACAGCTGAGTCGTGCCACTACTTAAAATTTTAAACCTTCCAAAGACCTTCTGATCTTGTTTATAAAGATACAACTGGATAAACTTAGTTCTTCCTGAAGGGTCTAATCGGTGTGATTGAAGAAATGGGCGAAAATGAGTGTTTTTAGAGAGTCCAACCATTTTTCTTCTAGACAGCTGAATATTAAGCAACCACTCATCTGTTAGAGACTAGTCAGAAGTAGGAGATGCCCCACGTCATGTTCGCCCGCTCATTTGTTATTACGCAAAAATAGCTTCTATGTGCAGGCATAACTACATGGAGTTACAGAAAGGCATGTTTGGCCAGGCAAAATTCCTTCGCCTCTACCTCATTAACGTTTAGCTCTATTTTGCGCATTCGTTCATTTATTCGTGAGCCCGGCACCAACTAGGTAGTGCTTCGGCTAAGTTTATAAAATAGGAAAAGCTTTAGAGGGCCAATCCTGCTCGCTTCAACGGAAATATTTCAGGGCAAACTATTTTCTATGTTAAACATTATGAACCTCTAATTTACAAAATAGATGCCAATGACTACTAAAGCAGGTTCGACAGGCTTCACAGAGCTTTGGTCTGGACTAAAATGCAGTTGATTTTTGGTTTGGAAAGAATATTCAACACGTTGCAGGCCCAATTTTATGGTAGATCAGTAATCATATTGTCTTTTTTGCAGATTCCGAATCAGTAGTACACTGAGGGCATGTTTTTTATTACTCCTAGAAGCGAAGTATCCTATCAGTTTAGATGGCAAATACCTAAAAACACGTTTTTACAAACTAAAGCAGTTACCCTGCAAATGGTGTCGTTGTATGGCGTTTTCCAATTTTAAGGACTTCTATTAAAAGTTGTAGGGCTTTTACTACGAATTAACCTAAAAAGCTTTTTTGAAGACCCCAACAAATGTGTGGTTGTAACTTTGTAAACCTAAGAGGGCCTCTTACCTTGAAGCTATTTGATACTTTAAGGCAATAAATTTGATGATTGGAAGAAGGAAACACGTCAGTTTTTTATGATCATGACTATAAACTAGTTGACATTTAACATTTTAACGGATTACGTACTGCATGTGTCCACAGGGATCAGATTCCTTCTACCCTACATAGTAAGAGGTCTGACACCCACTAAAAGAAAAATGAGACAGATAAATCTTTCGTTTTTATTACACAGGCAGTCATTCGACAGCAAAAGAATCTCACCTCTCCATGTGCAAAAGGTTTTGGGAGGTGATGCTTAATCTGTGGTGTACTTGGCAGTAAAAATGCTAAAATTTAATATCTGCAGCAGCGTTTAACTAAAAATGGCGCGACAACTGGAAGTCATATGAGGCCGTGTTTGAGAAGTGCCAGAAATTACTTCTCATTGAATGATAATTGTATTTTCTCTACCCGCCCCGCTTTATTAATGCTAACCTACCTGTGCTGCACACTGTTTTAGGCCAACTGCTAAATTCGACAGCAGGTTTGAGCATCTGCCTCCTCATTCTCACTCTTGCTGGTGCCTACATTTTCAACAAAGTTGAAGGAGCCGCGGAAATTAGAACTCGGATACAAGCTGCCAAGGTATTCTATAGTTAAGCACTCCATCTCCTTATCGAAGCAAAAGTCACTGTTTCGACTTAGCGATGATGTTACGGAGACTAAATGACCGTGTAAGCTTCTTTAAACCCCTAGGAGACATGAAAACTGCATTAAATCAAAAATCCTTCTTTACGAGTGATCATATGAGGAAGGCTTCTGCATGTTCCCGCTTAAAAATGTTTAAGACTAGCAGTCCTTTTTATGAAAAGCTTTATATTTGACCCATTTCACTGATAAAATGCCTCGTTTAACAGCTATTTCGGTGACTTGATGTGAGTTTCGTTGGGTGTGAGACCACGAAATGCCACGGTTCTAAAACAAAAGAATGTCGCGCTGATATATTTTCGACATCTAGAGGGGAGCCGTACGCGCATGTACGACACCCCAGGTTTCGTATCCGAGTCCATCGTCACAGCTAGGTGACATGCATGTCTGATCCGGTTACGTTAACTGCCTTAAGTCGTGTGTCACCAAAATATTGGTTTCTTGGTTTCTTGTCATGCCCGTCCTACCAACAAATCCACTTTTGGAATGCAAGCACACTGATTGATTGTGAGGATGGGATAACATGGCCTCACGTGAGGCTAAGACGTGTCCACCTCAGACCTTGAGGCCAATCAAAACGCCCTAGTGTGTGGCTGGCTCGAGGATGATCCAGACGCTACCCACCTGCATATTAGCCATCAGCGACGAGTATCAAGCCCCGATTACTGCATCCGGTATCTTATATCGTCATCCGCCACAGCGCGCAGAAGACGCAAACCCCAAGCAGACGGTTTCTCTACTGAGAGTTACCCACGGTCTCATATGGTCGCCTCTCTTCCTCATGCTTAGCCTAACCGAAGGGTAAGCGCTTTGCCAGTATTGCACCCCCTCTGTTTGATTAGCCACAACAAACAACGAGTTGAATAAATAGAGTCCCTATTCAGCTTCTTTATTTGCCTCGTTCCACGTTCTTTCCTCATTATGTACTTAAGCTAGTGAGAGATTACCGTTGCACCAGTGGTACGAGCAACAGATTTTAAACATGATTTCTTTATCGGTTACACCACCACGAAAGATCTCTCTGCGGAATCCTCCAAAATCTAGACATGAAAACTTTTGAGAGATAAGAGAAAACCTAAGTGCGAAAGAACTCCTTACTTTTCACCCATTAATTTTGCAAATGTAATCCCATTGGAAGCACGGAGTATAATCAGGGTTTGTTAGTATCGCTTCAGCTAGGCTTGTGGTTATAAAATACTTTGTAGAGAATGGAGCAAAAGTTAGTGTTTATTCCATAAACAAGATAAGCTGGTGGAGACTTGCAATACTGCGGGCGTAGCGTCTGTCCACCGCCGTAGCACTTTTTTGCTGTGCCGCTACCGCTTGCCCCCTCTTTTAAACTTTCATGACTCGTCTGCTTCACGAACCAAGCTTAACTCGTGAAATATGCATGGACTTTGGCGAAAGTGGAGTATGCAATTGCATGATCCACAGTTTAGAATAAAGTATTTTAAATAATTCAATGTTATTGATATATCTCTCAAAACTATTTTCATCACTTTCTAAGAGAGCTCTTTTCGTGAATAAAATGCTGCATGAAGAACAACTTTCAGTTGCATTTGACGCGGGCACTGCAACAACTGATCTACCCTTAAATCAGTCGAGAAGGAGAAGTAGCGGAAAATGCTCGTGGATTATTTAGCAGATGATAATTGACTTCAAGGCTGACCTAGTGACAGACTGGTTGACTACTGCTGAGAAATGACTTTCGCGTTACAAGGTTAAGCGAAAGAAACATGTCTATTCTTCACTTCTAAAGTACGCGGGAATCCAGGCCTTCGAGACCTGAGATGCTTTGTGCGTGGGTATGTGTGCAGTGGACTGCAGAGAGCATGGAGGAAGACCTTCTTTTCCTTCTGAAGTGGTACTACTAGTGAGCATAAAGACGGTCTCATTCGTATTCATACCAGACAACACAAGATCCCCTACCAAATTCTCTTGAATAAGCTTGCCTTAAGGGGACTTGCCTGATAGGTAGGTAGGCAGGCTTGAGTGGTAATACCGACTGGGGTATTTGTTCGTTATTTTCATCGCCTTTACTGGGTATACAGTAATTATACGAGATACGAAATAGACGGTTAGGAAATAAACCCAAGGTCGAAACGGAGATGAATAGGTTTGATGTTTTGGTCAAGCTAAGCCAAAATAAGACTTTAATGCCCCACCCAATCTTGAATAGGGCGCAAACTTATTCGGTTGCATTATATAACCTCTTCGAAGGTACAAAACAATAACTGAGGTCAAGCCGGTTTTTGCTGAGATATGCAGTGAGTAAATTATTATAGCAATTTAAAGAAGAGCTTTTGCTGTCACGAGTTTGCATGCCGCATAGCAATAATGACATAGGTGCTGCATATTCAGTTTAGAAGATATTACATACATTCCATTTACATCAGCTACCATCAAACGTGAACCAAAATATTTATAAAGCCCAAAACAACGTCACTTACCTATATCTTTGTTCACGCCTAATGTAAAAAATTGAGTATGCGAACTAAGTGGAAAGTTAAATTATGAAAACATTGTGCACACAAATTGCACGGAAAACTTCATCCCATTTATAAATGAAATTCTATTCCAATTCATGTTTTATTCGCTTTTATGTTTACCACACCTTAGATACTTGCTGGCCTGTCTGCAGCCTCAAATTTATTATCCCATCATAAAGATGGAAGTAAAGGAAATATCGCTAACGTCTTTTTGGTCAAAAATAGTGAGGTTAATTGGCTTTTTTCACCGCAGCAACATGCTGTAGCCTCCCGAGTCTTGCCCAAATTTGTAGTAAAGCTAAGCTGCCACGCCGATACGAGGAGGTACAAATACCAAGGTTTAAGGAGATCGCGTGGTTGGCTACACATTTTAGGATGTTCAAAAATATCCCTACCGAAAGTTCGCTAGAACAAATAAGAAAGCTTTGTAAAAATCTAAGTCCTATTTCTACCAGTTAGAAATCATGAATGTGTGACCTGCTAAGCACTGGAATCATCTAAACAAACTCACCCCCAAGCAGCCGGTTTAAGTGTTCGGTATTCAAAACTACTTTCAGGTTTAAATTGCATTAAAGTACATTCCTTCTTCTTCGTATTTCAAGGCCCGTCAAAGGATCTTCGTTTTGGCTCAAGAACTCGCCGACGAGGGCGATGACGCCGATTGGTCGAAGCTGGTTGCTCAAGTGGACAAATACCGCAATAAGCTACTGCAGGCCTGGAAGGCCGGAAACGACGAGTTGGGCGCCGAGATCAAGCCTCCGTCGTGGAGTTTTTGGGGCAGCCTCTACTACTGCATTACACTCTTCACTACAATAGGTACTACTGGTGCTTAAAAGTAGTATAGTGCTGCCGTACGAACCGCGGTGGTTACCAGCATGGGAAGGTACTTTTCAGGCATTAGTCATCCGATTTACAAGATTTTCTTAAGACAGCATGAATAGAACTATTCAAATCAAATTAACTTCCAAAGTAAGGGTGATTTGCTCAGTGTCACCTGTATACGACGTCTCGATTTGCCTGCCTGACCTTGGCGTCACGAATATGTGACATGCGTCCCTATTAGCTTATTTTAACTAGTTGCACTACATCTTGCAACTGTTAGACCTTTGGAGCCTAGAAAAAAAAAAGATGTGCAAATGGGTTCAACCTAAAATTGGTAATTGCGTTTTTTTTGGCTCCGACCTAACATTGTGCTATAGAAACGAAAATCAGGAATTTCCTTTTGGATTTGTTTACTTTTCCAAGGATATGGCAACGTGTTTCCAAGCACAACCACTGGGAGAATTGTTACCGTATGCTATGGGCTGATTGCAATTCCTCTGTGCTCCATGGTGATCAACCGAATATCCAAGGCAATAGCCCGCCTCCTCAAGGCCATCTATTTGATGACCCTTGACACCAGTGGCATTCCTATCGGTCTACGCGATGCCTACCACCGAGCAGGAACGGATTTCGACTTTTCAGTAAGTTGGAAAAAGCACAATCAGGCATCATTCTGCTGCATCTGTTGTTAGTTTGAGGTCCCATTCCAGCCGCGGTGAATTTAGAGGGGATAAAATGAATGTAATTAGACTGCCCTTGCAGATGAAAGAAGCACAAGTCTGCATGTCAAACGTTCCCATAAGGCAAATGGGTGCGCTGGAGCTCGCCACATGTTTGCATCTTTGAGAAAAGGGTATTGGATTATTCGTGGTCGCTGTACAATTAAAAGAGCCTACTCCATGAATGCCTTCACTGCGGGTGTTCGTACTTCCAGTCCAGGAGTTAGATTGGACCACCACTTCCGGAAAGACACTTGAATCCCCTGTTGACTGCTACACGTGTAGATTACTTGGACGTAGCAGGGAGACGGAGGTCAGTATACTCGGAAGCAGTCCATGCCCTAGATATTGACTCTTTGACAACAGCGTTCTCGTCACAAGACGAGGATGCCCCGGAGTCGTTTATGCCGACCGTGGAGCCAAAATTCAAGGCGCTAGGGCGATAATAAAGCATTACCTAGAAGCGGAGGATGAGAGTGAATCTTCACGCCAGCCAATGACTGCGTGAGAACGCGTAATCAGGTCTGCCCGCCGTATCTTACTTTCCTCTCACGCCTTGAAACACTCCCTACTGATAAAAGTATCAGAAGACCCCGAATGACCTGCTCCTAATGAGGGATATCCCTACGACCCTATTTTAGGTCGTGATAAGTAAGGTAACGATGGTTGAAAGAGTATTTCCCTGAACTGGACCAGAGTTGCATAGCTTCCAGGTTGATGACGTAGTTCTTCTAGCTGACACGATTGTCCAGCGGAGACAGCTAACGAGACCCTGAGACGAAACGCACAGCAGTTGTGTCCCCGAAAAGGCAATTTCCTACCGATTTACTTTTTTATACCCGTATCGTGCATTAAGGCTAGTGCTAAAAAGTTGTCACAGTGGCGCTTAGCTTGAAAGAGTTTTGAGATGCCCCCTGACTAGAACTTAATCCCTTGCCTCCAGCTCATCACAAGTTTCGGACTGCTCGTGATATATGCAATCTTCAGCGGCGTGGTCTACTGTTGGGGGATCGGTGAGACCGCCTCAGCATGGAGTCCTCTTGACGCAGTCTACTTTGCCTTCATCAGTATCACCTCCATCGGACTGGGAGATATTGTGCCCTCCTCTGATGTCTTCCTTAACCTCGCTTCGCTGGCCTACATCTTTGTGGGTCTTGCCCTCATGAACCTCTTCTTCACTCGCCTCATTCAGCTCACCGAGGCACAGCTAGAGCGCATTGGCGGCAGTGCTACCGATGTCGTTGGCGCCTCGCAGGTTGGAAGTGGCAACCAAATGCAGTCGCGGTATGCTCTTGGAGCGAGTGGCAGATTTGCTGCGAGTGCACTGGCCAACAGCACCACGCCGAACTATCACTAGGACATTAAAGATCACCGTCCTACCCTACCGTTGAATAGGACCAGTTGTTATTTCGACCTAGATGAGATAGAAGCTATGTTGTTTCTCCCCACCTCCTCCAAATCTCCCCTTTCGAGAGCGACCCTTTGGATAAAGAACCGGAGATTTGAAAATACAATGCTACTTATGGACTACAGGGAGTTCTCCATTGTGGAATAAAAGTTATGAGCTAGGAATTCGAGCATTTCAGAGGGGGATGGGTAGTTGAGGGTCGAAGCCGCATGACTACTGCCGGTGATTATCACTGCTTATAGGTCTTTAACACGTCTGAAACACTTAAAACGGGTGGGATTTGTTCGTATTTGTCTTAGTTACGACAATCGGGAGCACCGAATCTCATCGCGAGTAAACGGGATAAGCTTAAAGGGGACGTCCTCAGCATGGCTGTCCGAACTGGTTAGGGAGGCAATGCAGGTATTAATGTCACGAAAATAACACAATCTCTAAGCTGTAGGGGTCGAATTTCCCGATGGTGAACGTGTTAAACATACAGTAGGGGCTTCGAGATTTGAAACCAAAATCAAATGTGAAGCATAACGGAATATGAAGGAGAGATCGCAGAAATCATTATTAGGAAAAAAAAACATTGATCTGATCGAAACGGTAAAAGAGCGTAAGCCTAGCGAAACAACGATTTCCAAATCTGAAACATCTCAGTCCAGCTAATAACCACACAGTACAATCAACCAAATTCCGTTGCAGTGGTAAAAACCCAGTGGAGGCAAAAATCAAACCCATTTACAAAAGCCGATCCTTTCGGTAGGTTGAACTTTTGAACATACCACGTTGACATCTTCCAGGGGAAGGAATATTCGCAGACTGTCAAACACATCACAGGAGATAATATGCAGAAATAAGAATGTTTCAGAACATCTGCAACCTATTTTTAAGCTTGTACGGCACAGGAATCACCATTTGGAAGAGTGAGGCATAAATTCATCGAAAGATCAACGCATACAAAAAAAAAACTTTAGAACCACAAAGACCCTTCTGAAATTAACAACAGTGAGACGCAGATATAAAACTAAACCCTCTAATGTACACAAAGATGCAAGAAGAGCCAAATTGCATAAGAATCTTCAGAATAATGACTTCGCCAGTAAATGAGAAATCGTGGAAAAATATATAATTGTGAAAATAACTTTGCATCGATTTAAATAATATTGTCCAAATACGATAAAAGCAGTGCGTATAAAAAATTGAACAGTAGCATTGCACCACGTTTAACCCCAGAAATACCTAAAAAGAGAAACGACAACATTCACCGAAGACTCTACTACAGATAGAATACGCAAAACAAATAAACCTTAGACATACCAATTAACGACTGCGATCCTGATCTAACTTTGAAACACTAAAGAATTAAAAATGCATGGGATGAGGATTTGTGGGCTTTAAACCGGATGGGAAACAATATCACGTACTCGAAGGTACGACCGCGCATAAAGGACGCCGAAGCCGGACGCTGATCTAGAACGTGAATAGGAAGCGGAGGGAGGGCTATTTGGAGGCTCCTTCCAAAGCGAATTTGAGGGCCCACGTCCTCATCGGCTGATGATATTGTTGATGATTGTGAAGAAGTAGAGTCGTTCGCAATGCCCTCACTGCCACCGTCAGTACTAATAGTGGCGGTATCAGAGGAATCAGTATATATGTAGTTCGATAAATCCAAAGGTGTTAATTTAACATAGCAATTGTTGCATGAAATTTTAGTCACCAAGCCCGCCCGGAAGTTTTCAATCAAATGTCGACGCAGTTTGAAGTAGACACTGTGGCGCGTGCCACGTCTGTGATTAAGGAAGCCTTGACGGGATAAACGAATGGAACGGCGGTAAAACATATCACGCTCACGTTTTCGTTTTTTAACATGGTAAGATTTGGTTTTATGGTCAGGGATACGGAGACCTTTCTTTGATTTTTCATTGACATTTTTATCAGTTGATTGTCCGCACCGAAGGTCGACTCCAGCAAGGAAGTAGTACTTTTTCTGTTGAAGTTCATAATTTACAACATCACTTGAAGGTAAATAGGGAGATAAAACTTACTCATTATTCAATAGTACAGCACATGGTCGAATTCCAAACTCACTGTTTGGGGCGACCATTTCAGAAAGGGCACAAGATTGCATATATTTAAACAAATTGGCTTCATCAATATGAGTGCATTCAAAACACTAAGGTAGTTAGAATGGAAGCTAGGTAAAACCACCAGTCGAACTGATTTTGGTGCTCAAAGGTTAAATCCATGGATCCCAAAACTTATTTTGTCTATAAATTGGTCACCACTCATGCATCTAATGAACTAATAAAACATACACAAAATAAACTACGGCGTAAATGGATTCACTTTTTAAGTTATAAAACCCGTTGACTACAATAAGAGGGTTGTTTTAAAAAAGGCTATTTTAGACTAGACCTCTTACAAATAAGGCTATAAAATTGTCTTGAAAGTCATAAATGCATTGATCAGCAAGCATTGAGTTTTGTTTTAGCATTTATTGTTGATAAGACAGTGCGCAAGTTTTATGTTTAGCATTCGAAATAATTCACTGCCAAAATTGTGTTTATTTAGTGAAGAGCATAAAAAGACGAAAAAGTGTTCCTAAATGCTATGACATTCATCAAGTCGCAATTGTTTTATTAGGTTGCGTTTTTGTGATTTCGTTGGAACTACTAATCAAAGTAGCACTTTTCGTGTGTTTTAGCTGCTTTTTACAGTGCCTGAATTTATGCGGCTGTTAAATGTACGGAGATCCCACGCGTACACGTTCTTCTAACGCAAGTGCCAATGAAACTCAACGAAATGCTTTATCAATCCCAATTCCTGCTACTTCCCATGAAGACACTGCCATATACGCCCTTGATGGTTTCGACAGCTTTCAAGAGCCACTGGGATATATGAGTAACGCCAGTGGGAACCTTAGGGGAGACGAATATCCGATGTATCACCTTATAGACCCAGACAACTGCCATGTTTTGAGAGAGATAGTGTACCTGAATGCTGTTCCACAAGAAATCACACCAAACGATTTTACCAAAGGCGCTTGGCTTGCAGATTTGGAATCTGCCGAAGTCGGTGGCGCTGGCAACACGGACATTGGATTTGCTTTACAGGCAACGCCTGGCGCCTCCGCTGTCTTTCCTGAAACTGCCGTTGACTTGCGGTGTCCGGAATGCGGTGAGTCTGCCAACTGTGAATGCCAATTATATCTGCATAAAATACTTCAACACGCATCATTGAGTGCTCTAGATGAAATTAAATGTCAGATTTGCGGCAAAAAGTGCTCAAGGATATCTGCATTTAAAAGTCATTTATCGTTACACTTACTTCGAAATGACCAAGTTTGTTCGAATTGTCAAACACAAATTTCCTGTCCGACGGCTGTCCATGACACCGAGGAACAGATTATTCCGATGCCGTCAAATCAGTATCGATGTAGACTTTGTGGGGTTAACCATTCATCTTTGACTCAGCTTCGTATACATTATAAACACAATCATCCTAAGAGGCAGACGGATAATTCAGAACCTTTATCTACCTCTCAGACGCATATATCACCGGAGCCACCCACTTCTCAACCCCATGGACGCAACTGCAAAGTCAAGGCATCGACATTTATCAGGGAGATAGCCACAGCCTCTAAGCACAAAAGGCGTCACGCGCCTCCTGCACCAGATCCCGTGCCTTCGCCTCAGGTTGAGCAAATTGACTACACCCAGCACGTGAAGAAAATTTTCATATCGAAAAAGAAACAACTCTTTCAGTGTGAAATTTGTAAAAAGAAACTCTCCTCAATGACTACAACCAAAGCGCACGTCTTGACACACTTGGGCGTGAAACCATTCTCTTGTCCAATTTGTTCTAAATCCTTCACGCAAAAGGGCTCAGTGGACACTCATATGGCTATCCATAATGCGGCGAAAAAGCTCTCGTGTCCCTTCTGTCAAAAGAAGTTCACCTTCAAGCAGAATCTTGATGTTCACCTTTCGAGATATCATAGCAAACTGGCCAAACCGGTAGTCAATATCCAACAAAGCCAAGAATTGCATTCATTCATCGTGGCTTATGGGTGTCTTTCATACTCCATACTCTCTTCTTTCTACCTCTTTTTATCCATGTTTGCTGGCTACACGGGCAGGCGGTGTGCCTGTCGCTATTGCTTCTTAACATTTCCCAGCCCTTCTATGTATTGCTCACACGAACTTTTGCACCTCAAAAGGCGGAAAATCTCCAAGTCTTATGCTATGGGGTTCAAAAGGAGATTGGCCCATCACCTTGCCCAAAAGTCTGTGAAGAAATCTAAAGGTGGTCTCAACTTTATCCACCTCCTGGAATCCGATGCTGAGGAGGCTCTCAGGCCCTACTCAGAAAAACCAACCTGTTATTGCTCATTCTGTAATTTCAGATCCCACAGTGGAGCGGCCTTATTCCGGCACAGAAAGGATCATGCCTGTATTCGCAAACGTCACTTAGATAAGCTGAATGCTATTGGTCTATTGCTCAACACTTCACAGCCTTGCTCCTGCTGTCCCTGGTGCTCCAAACTCTTTACATCTGCGCGCAGTGCCAAGTTGCATTTCGTGACCCACTTTTTGGCGGATGCATTTGTTTGCGAGAAATGCGATCGTCGTTTCGTCAGTGGTATTCTGTGCAGACGTCACATGCGACTAAAGCATGGTTTAAGAAAGTTGAAAATCCGCATTATTCTTCGCTACGACCTACCTCTCAGTCTGCAGCGTCGAATCAGTCTAAAACCAGTACCTCCAACTGAGTTTTCGATCGACCCAGTCGATGCTTCTAACATTCCGGTAGAGATAATTCAACTCACAGAAGCCCATCAATTTCCTCCTACTTCTTTCACTGAGCAGCTGAGTCAAGAGGTAGTTTGGTTATCTGAACCGGAGTCCCATATTCCTGAGGTGCCTCAGCCCTCCGTGATAATCGTGCCTCCGGATCCAGTTCAAGGACAACTCACAGATACGCAGATTCTTCCAGTGGACCAATCATTTGTTCTGGGAGAGGGCTTCCAGTCAGGCGACATGTTCCTCCTCCCCCAGGGTTCTACCCTTGATAATCTGGATAGTTACAATCAGAGTGTATTCTACAGCGACCAGGCCAGTTTTGTCGATGCACCGGCCTTCGATACAGACTATCAGCCTATGGTCGATTTTGTCCAAGAAGCCAACTCAGCGTTAGATTTCAACACTGAAGTGACAATAGCAACGGAACCTCCTCCTCCCTTACCACCACCAGCACCTCATCCTCCATCATCGTCAACACAGGAGGGTCTAGATCAACAAGCAGGCCTCGCAGATTTTTTTGGTTGTTGCCAATGCGCGGCGCGGTTCGATAGCAGCGTGGCGCTATCTACTCATGTCATTACGCACGGCACATCTACACATTATAGTGTCTGTTTGGCATGTGGAACAAGTCGGCTGGACGCGGGAGAATCCGTTCCGTGTAGCGCTTGCGGGCAAAATGCCTTCCACCGGATGGACGCGCTGTTGGAAGATGCGATGATCGGTTGTGCGCGGTTCTACTGCACTCACTGCAATTTGGTCTTTGCAGAGCTCAATCATTTGGAGGCGCATGTAGCAGAGTTGACTACACCGAATGTCTACCAACACCAACCGGTGTTGGAGGAGGTGGTGACTGTGGAGTCTGTCCAGGCGCCAGCTTGTAGCAGACGATCTGCGCAACCGAAGAAAACGCACTTCGAGTTGCCGGCAGAAGAAGTGCAAAAGATCATACAGAGCCAACCCACGGCCGAGTCAAGTCTATCTGAGAGATTGCTATACGAGGTGTGAAACTTCTTCTCATTACTTTGCTGCTTTTTACTTGACCTTAACATATGCTCATTTTTCTCTAGTTGGGTAGGAGAATTATAATTAGAATTTACCCTAAAGCAATTTTGTTGTCTGTTCAGTCATGCTTTTGAGTGATCCTTTCTTCACAGGCGGCCTGTGAACGAGATTCGAGGAGTTATCCAATGGGAAGCAGAAGGTTGGTGGAGGGTCCATCCACTTCTTCAAAAGAACGACCTCATGTCTGCACAGTTTGTTCTTTTCGCTTTCAACGCAGCTCCGACTTGCATAGGCACATGTTCCTGCATACGGGAGTTCGTCCATACAGCTGCAAGTTCTGCAACCGTCGGTTCATTCTACCCCGTCGTTTGCTAGCCCATGCGACTCGTTTGCATGGCGCCGAGGGGGCGGCATGGGCCACCGCCTTCCTCTCCGGCCGTCCGCGCTCTCGTCGTTTCCTCTCCACCACCTCCACCACTGCCGATTCGCTCACCTGCCACTTATGCGGTGCCATCTGCGGCAGTACTAGCAGTCTCCACTCACACATGCGTATTCACACCGGTACCAAAACCTACGCCTGTCCGCACTGTTCCCTATCCTTTCGCACTCCCATCCAGCGCAAGCGCCACCTCTGTGTGTGTCAGAAACGCCCCACGGAACCACGCACCAACCTTGACGCCACACCGGCGGAGCCGTCGTCTTTCGACTTCACTCCCTACCTTATCAATTTACCACAGTCTAGTGGATTTAAGGACCTTCTCACTGATGATATTCAACCTGCTCCTGCCCCTCCCCGAACTTCCACCTTATCCCAGAAGTATATCAAACTAGACGACAAAGCGGGTACTTCCTCGAGCTACATCAGTCTCTGGCAGTGTAAAAACTGTCAGGAGAGCTTCACAACTAGCAAAGCTTTCTCAATTCACAAATGTCCCGCACAGACAGTGTTTCCACGCACTTTGCACCAATTGGAAAGAGAGAACACTTCTGAGGGTTCTAGCGAAACTCGTCGTGGTCCCTACGTCTGCTCCACCTGCACTAAGGTGTTCACCCGACCTACAGATTTGAGGCGCCACGAACGAGTGCATTCGAACGAGCGACCCTTTGTATGCGAGGTATGTGATGCACGGTTTTCGCAGAGTGGTAGTCTGCGTATCCACCGACGCATACACGAGGAGTCGGGACGGCGCTTCAAGTGCCGAGTCTGTGGAGTCGCCTTCTTTGTGCGCAGCAACATGCTTCGTCACATGGCGCGGGTACATGGGCACTCGACAAGAGGTGGTGATACAGCGACACCCCCTTAGAGCAATTCGTCCTTTTTTGTATTGCTTTTTTTATATGCGTTGCTTATTGATTTGAATGATTTGCGGCAGAAACTATTCGTTCTTGCGTCAGGTGGTGGTGGTGGTTGCTACTGAAATGGTTTTCAGTAGGTGAATTTAATTGTGAGATTTCAGCTAACTTGACTCAAAATAAACAGTGGTCGGCAGTCTGTAGGAAATTGGGTTGGGATTTCGGCTGTTACTTGTGTTGTGTCTCGGGAACGGATGTCTCTCACGGCTTTTGACAAAGGCCTGTCAGAAGCATAAAAAAATGGAATGACAATCCAGTAACGTGTTTTACAATTTCAAATTCAGTAATGACTGTGCTTCAGAGTGAACCAACTAGATTATTCCGATAAGTCTTAATGGTTTAAATTTAGTTGTTGAAGGGGAATGGTGTCAAAAATATTGCATAGGTTAGTTTTATTATGCTAGATAGGTAAGGAATCGGACCTGGTGGCTCCAGAGCAAGATGGGAATATTTAAATACCTACTCCTAGTTTATTCCTGGCTTTAAATCCATCACTGTGTATTGCCATATATTAACTGATTGAATAAAACAAGACGTCAAATAACATTCTTGTGTATTAGGAACAATCAAGGACCATGCAGAATGACTTAAGTTGATCTGACTCTATTTGGACTAGATTGCCAACCGCTCCCAGCTTTGCGGTGGGTCGAGGCTTTTTAATCTATGCTTGATTGTACCTATCCATCAACTCTTTTCTTCTGCTCACAGTCCTCACATTTCCCCCTCTTCCTCTGACAGGGAAGGCAGCAAGAGGAGAGAGAGAATGGGAGGGGGAAAGTACTGGAAAAAATCGTCCTTTACCCACACTTGAGGTGATACCAGCTACTCGCACGAGGAGAGAGGGAAAGTTGATTTCCAGCCCCTTTTTTGTCACGCAAAGGGGATTTTGTAGAGTAATGTGTGATGTTATGGTTATTACCCTAACTGACTTAGCGCCATTCAAGCACCGTCTGCAAATTTATTTTGAATTATACTGACAATTTTACCCTCATACGCTCCAGGTGTTTGTTTATTTTCTCCTGTCACTATAATTTGCAGGCGCTTTTGGAGCTTTATGAATAAGTCAGTAGAAGCAAAACATGGGTAAAAGTGCCGTGTTTAGCGGTAATTTCTCCATCTCAGGGGACTTTGGGAATAATGGCGGGATGTAAGAGGTGGATGAACAGCAGTTGTGATGCGGTTAGTTAGTGTGTCACCACTATGTATCGCTCATTCTGTGCGATTTGAATTGGATTAACAAATGGCCGGTGAAAGAAATGAAGAGGTCGCACAACTATGGATCTACACTTGAATTAGGCGAGATAAATATAAAATGAAGTGAGGTAGTTAGTCTCGCCAGGAAGGGATAAGTTCACGCCAATCAAAGATGACACCCAAAAGAGTGCATCTCCTGACATCCGCGTGATAAATCGTTAATGAAGTTGGTTTAGCTTTTCGAGTTGCTTTAGATATGCTTCTACAACTTGACTTACGCGTTATTCACTTTCTGCACATGGGCTTTTGTAAGGATCCCACTAGGCACACCCACACGCATGTATTTACATATGCTGGGGTTTCACTCCAGACCGGCAGTTTATGGCAAGCCAACTCGGTTGTCGCATTGGCTTTGCGCCTATAGGCTGCGCTTCACAACGATGACAAGTTAATAGAGATCGTAGGCAATGAGGAGATAGCATAAACCAATCACGGTTTGTAGATGACGCTTACAGTCACGCCATTTACTGATTTGAGGGCTCCTCATTGCAGCCCCCATTCATAAAAAATGCTGGCAGCCATAGATACCCTTTGTGCTTAAATGTATCTAAAACAGTCAGTTTCCAGGGAAGGATTGAGAATTAAACCTCTTATTAAGGTGTTCACAAATGCTACTGGGCGTCGCAGTTACCGCTAACATCGAGCCACTAGACTTCCGCTTTTTGTCTTTCTCGGTGCAGTCATTCTAGATTGAATTCTTAAGTTTTAATTAGATGTTCAGCTAAAATCTCTTAATTTAAAGACAAATGCATAATCCCGAAAAATGTGATGCTTGGCCTTTGTTGTTTTACCGTACAAATGAGATGACAGAACCTTCCTTGGTAGGTGTAACTTAATCGAACGAGGCTTCATCTTCTACGACCACGATACACAATGAATAGAATCACTAAAAGAGTACAGCTTTTGGAAAAAGACGTAGCAAAATTAGTCGGCGGATGTAAGGTTAATCAAAAATATAGCAGTTTAGGGGGAGATGAAACAATTTTATTGTTGCCAGTCCTCAACTTGAAATCTTCACGCTGAACAGCTCATTATTATGCTTCAGTTTGCTTCTAGAAGCAAAGCAGGTGGTGCTAACCACCCCTGTTCCTACTTTAGGCTTTCGTCCTAACTGTCTGATGCCAAAAAGTGGGGGTAGTCATTTGCAGGTTGGGGAAGTGTCGTCGAGGCCTATGGATGATGGGGGTGAGGCTCCCCTTACCCCCCATTCTAAAATGTATATAATCCCACAGGCAAAGTTTGTGCTAGTGTAAGGCGCTTGAGCTACCCGTAAGAATGTCAGCAGGGGTTTCTTCTAAATGCTTGATGAAGAATAAAAGATGGATTTATTTTGCTCAGCTTCTTGTTGGTTTAGATATATAGGCTTCATCTGTAATTGTTAGGATTTTTGGAAGTGAACAAATCAATTTGTGGTCTACCGCATGCACACAGGAAGCAGGCATTGACTTGTGGTTATAGAATTTTGCGAGTGCCTTATAAGTGAGTTTGGAGGTTAGAGGTAGCCAGTTGTGTATTCCTCGTATTACGAAAGGCATTACTCACTACAATTCAGTCAGTTACCGATTAAAACTTGCATTTTATGAAGCTAGGTAGGGTTAAACAATAAATTTGTGGTCTTTGAAATTAATTGTTTTCGGTTAATCAATTCCTGGCCATGTGATCCACTTGCCTGGGTTCTGCAGCTTCCCCTTTACGGTTGATTTAATTGTAGACCACTTATCGCACTACCACCATCAACACTCGCGTCAAATACGGCAAAGAATGGATTTTGACACAATAAAGCAAGGAAATCCTCCATTCGAAGCAGGAGGAGAGTTATTCATAGCCAAAATCGAATTGTTCAGACCATTTGCTTCAAGACGGTAGGTCGTGCTATCACTTGCTCCACCTTCTCCATAGTCCATAGATATTTCGAGTTAAGATTAATTCGCAAAGCAGACAAATTGGCATCGTTTCCATTAGGATTAACGACCACATTCTTATGTGGAGGTTCAAAATGAGGGAAAAGTAGCAGTGAGCCAAAGGATTTACACTCATCGAGGATTTGAATACATGCGTTTAAACTAACCTCGGATTGATATGCTCCATTCTGATCTCATCACATTCATTAATGTGATGCAGGGAACTTTGACCTGCCGTGTTTAGTCACAATTTGGCGGGACCTGGTGCAGCATTCAACTCTTCTGAACTGACCAAAGTCGGGAAGCTGTGTGGTGCTCGTCTCGTGCAAACTCTTCAAAATCGCCAATAGTCGTAAATTTTTATGACGATGTTGTTGCGCTGTGCCATGTTCATTATTCCCACAGCTTGGTTCGTTTCTCCACAAGCCAACTCTTACGTCATCCAGGCGTCCAGGATCGGGCAGGCGTTGCGCTCGTTAACAGAACTTGAATGTGTATTGCAGGCAGGAAATCCACCGTGGTTCAGATAGCTGCTGACAAGCGTTAGAGCTGTCGACTTTAAAACGTTTCTACCATTTAGGTATATATCAGTGCCCCAGAGCATTACATTATCGTTGTGCACCGCACTTGAAGTCCTCGTGAATAAGAAACTTGGACTATGTGCCCAATTTGTTTCCCGCATGCATCTTCCATCAGTAACGCCTGCCGGGCATCTCAATTAAGGTCAAGGTCATGTGATGGGATGGCCTCGCCAACTCCTACTGCGTTTAGTACTGCAACAACGACATGCCTTTTAAGGCGTGTGTGTAGATGCAAGTCTCCTTGTTATTTGGACGCTCCATGGATGAAATTCTTTGAATAAAACATTATCTAGTAGTTTTAATCTATGAGATTACAAAGTATCAGAATGCTTTACTTGACCATTTCGACGGCACGAATAAACGCCCTTGTCTGATTACAAACTTTTACAAAGAATCCTCATAATCCACCTCCTTTGGGATTTCGGCTACCTTGTTATAAATCACCAACGCGGATTTTCCAAATTCGCCTTTAGCCTCTCTGCATAAACTTAATTTCGTGAAGTGTTCAAGTGGATGCAAAGCAGGTGAGAACCTTATAAGCTTGAGTCGGGCTTATTTACAGCCACTTTGAGCTGAAAATAGTCAAATGGGCTACATCGAATCACCTTTGGCAAAGACGATGAAACAACGTTAGGCCTAGTATTTCCTCCCTTACTACCCGTTAACAGATCAAATAACCACCGTAAAGACCACATATTTAGCTTTCCCAGAAAACAGCTAGGTCAACTTTAAAGAAGATTTAAAAAAGGACGGTTTTTAGCGTTTGAAATATTGTGATTTTTGATGAGACAATTAAGGATACCAGAAATGAATCTTACTGTGTGGATGATAGACGCAGCACAACCCATCATTTAAAATTGCGACAATTTGCGATTTTGAAGAGGTGACACAGCTCGAACACCATACAGCAATCCCGATTTTGGCCGGTTCGGAAGAGTTAAATGCTACACCACGTTATGTCCAAATCTGCTTGGGCAAGGCAGACTAGAGTTCTCTGCTTTGCAGAAAGGAATATGACAAGGCCAGAAAGAAACAAATCACACTGAACTGGGAAGGAGTGCCGGAGAATGTGCAGCCTTTGGAGGCTGGAGGCTGTGGGACAGTTCAGTGGAGCTGGCAAATACTTCCATCTGGGAGATTCTCAGGGCTTACTTAAACACAGTGCTAGGGTTTGTGAATGCAGCAGAACAATATGTCTAAAAGGAATGCGTTTTCCACTCAACCGCTTTCCTTCTTTTCTTCAATAACTTCATATATTTTTCTCATACTCATCCATGCAGAAATGAGCTTATTCTAGAAATAATAGACCACGTAATCTCTCACAGTTTCTGGTTGAAGCCACTTGATGGGTAATGAATTCACCGAAATTCTTTCCCCATATTCTTTTTCCTTTCTGCTTCGAATCACGCAAATGGAGTATGTCAATCACTATGGTCAGCATTTCCAGGCAGAGATCTTGCCTGTGAAGGGAGAGCATGCGCTCATTTTTTTGATAGGCTCTACATTTGATCGTCAATCAATTATATGCCCGAGGGTATTCGGACGAAACCGCACGTCCTATGTGGGCGATTGTTTCTCATCCCCCTCTCTGCCCCAACCCTCCCCATTTTCCATCTCCAAACTGTCACTTAAGAAAATACTCTCTTGCAAAAAACGGTCGCTCTAGATCTTTGCGCTTGGAGGAACACGACGGGAGGCGAGCTTATGACTAAAATAACTGAAGTTGCTAAATTTAATAAGTTGATACATTTTAACCTAATCTAACGTATTATGCTGTTTACAAAAAAGTTTATTTTTTTCACATTAAATTTCAAAAAGGGGATAAGTGGTTGCCTCCTAGATTACTTGTGGATATTCAAGTGGAAGCAGCAAAATTAATGTGCAAGCTTTAGGTTAACTTGGAATTTTTTTTCTTATTTCTGCCATAAAATTAAATGTTAAAGGCTGTTAGTGTTTAATCATTTTTGGTCATTCTTGACCAATCCCTCAAAAAGCGTGCAGAGACAAGGGGCAATAGATGAATGAGCCTAAGTAGGGATTTATTGAGGCGAGGTAAGATCGCAATGCCTCATGAACTACAAACATCTTTAAAAAATTAAACTTACTAAACACAATAACAAAACGCGCATTTCTGTCGTAAGTGAGAGTTGCGTGTCGGTCTCAAGATTTTAGATTCTTCCAAATGTCCGATTGAATGGAACAGTCTGTCCTCAGTACTAAACATATGGCGGTATTTTAATTGTTTGGAGCCCTACCGTAGCAATTAAAGGTCGGTGGATTGCAATTACCTGGTTGCGTAATTGGGCTTTTTTTCTTCACTTGGAAGGAAACAACTCCCTCTTTTTATGCTCTTCGACATGCAATCTATTTTGGAAAAAAACTTCGGAACCGATTTTAGTTATGATTTATGTATTTTGAAGGAGTGGCGGATCGCATGACGCAAATAAGCGGAATTTAAGTGTGAAAAGAAAGTGTGGAAATTAGAGGGCTGAAAATAACCGTAGTATGGCATTCAAATGCCCTCCGCATCCATCTTCCCTAGGTCAGATTTCTACTCCAATTCATTTAAATAGCAAATGAAGATGAGTTTAAAATAGTAAAATTTTAAACAAAAGTAGTAACTCTTACATTGGACATTGGCGTTTTGTCTCTAAATGTACATGCAAGTGTTTGTTTTAAGTTAACTTCAGGAGTGAGCAAATGGTCTTTATTATTATGGAATTTAAGGAGGCAGATATTGCAATAATTTCTCCCATGCATTTTGCAGGCAAAATGGAAGAGTTAAGCGGATGCATTTAAGAAGGAAGTTAATTGCAATCTAGGTATTTTCATAGGGTTGGCAATTTAATCAGTACATATAAATAAGGTTTTATAAATTCCTTCACCTTGGTCGCCTCCTTACACAAAGCTATTTTATGGTTCCTTTAGGGAAGTTTACCTTTAAATGCATTCAAGCCCTCTTAAGAGGACTAAAAGTTGTTTCTTTGATATAGCGCAATGAAAGGCAATTTTTGAGGTCTAAAATGTGCTCATTTGGGGGTTCATAAACTGGCAGCAAAGCACACACATATTAAACACAAACACGATTTCGCTTTCTCTAAATCTACTTTAATTCACTGTAAATGACTCTGGTGGTGCTCTCACTCACTCACCTACTTCCATTCTCACACTCTCCCTCTCTCTCGTTCTCTCTCTCGTTGTCCCTAATTTGATTAATTTATACTTTGCGTGTCCGATTTAATGGAAAGCTCGCACTGTGATAGCCGAATTCTGGACACCTCTGGCGCAGAAGATAACAAAGTCAAGCCGAGTGGACCTGCCCCAGGCGTGTGCGAGAAGGCCGATGAGAATGTAACATTTCCAAAGACATGTCCACACGTCAAACTACTCGTGCTTGCCTACCGACTTGCTTGTTTCTCCCACGCATTTTCAATTCGCGCTAGACCCCACGAATACGTCTTAAATGGTGTGAAGAGGAGAAGTCGAATAATACAGCGGTTACTTTAATTTACAAGTTTACCTCTCAATTACTGTCAATAAGTTAAAACAGGAAGTAATTAAATGCGCATCCAACTAGAACTACTGCAACATATCTATACAAGCTTTTCACTAGCGTCACACATATGTGACGGTAGTTGTCTGTTTGCACTGGTTCGTGCCGCAAACAAGGCGTTTGAGTTTAAAGTAATAAAATAGATGTGCACTGTTTCCAGTTTAAAGGGAATTGCGTTTTTGGTTTTTTTTTAAGCAGCAACAGCAGAGGTCGCAATGGTCAGTTTGGTAATGCAGGTGTTGGAGCAATGCGGTCGATTCCCCTTTAATTCCTCTAAGAAAGTGTGGTGAAATTCCACCTCAGCGGTGAACAAAATTAAGATTATCAACTCTAGTCTAGAGTGGTAGGCTTTAATAAAGCCAAAAACTATTTAGTTATTATCTTTGTCAGGATAACTTGAGATTTTCTTATATCCATGATATCACATTATAAAGTTAGAGCGCTTTCAAACACACCATCAGCGACTATATGTATTTGGTGGGGAAGAATGATTAAAGAGACCACGATTTGTTTTAAACTTCCTATCCCCTTACCTCTCCCACCTTCCGAGGTCGGGGATGCTTAGAGTTGATTGGTTAGTTACAGCGATGGTCCTCCTCCCCAAGTAAAACAGAGCCCATCCACATTCATGGTAAAGCCCTCATTATTTACCTATTTTTAAACAGTTTTATCTTAATTTTGATGTAAAATGCTAAAATAATAGGCGGTTTTGCATTATCTGCAGGTTGTCATGCCACCCTTTGGCACACTAAGGGGAGCGCTTCGAAGCATTTCAAAATCTCAACATTAGTTCAGCTGCTTGAGGGAAAAAAACAATTCTCGCACAAGAATTTTTGATTGTCAGATAAAAATACGACAACACTCTAGGAGACGGATCGCTTTTAATTTTAGCTATGCTCCATCTTCCCACACTTCGTGGTTGCTTCAATGGACGAGCTGAAGTCAGGCTGAATAGTCCATTAGATGAGGACGAAAAAAAATAGTCTTTTCTCCCTGATTAGAGTGCACTCCCAATTAAATTATTTTAACCAGTAAAGTGATCGCAGACAGTTCTGAAGACGTGGTTTCTTGTAAGGCTGAAATGACTTGACAGGTGAATCTGTGAAGGCGTAAACAAATTAGCGAGGCTTTTAGGCAGTGAGAGGTGGTTGACTGGCGAAGGATGCTCTTTACGTATTACAAATAATCTTCACTGGAAAATGTAAAAAGCTTAGGTCATATGTGACAAGGAATAGTCCTTGAAATTACATCTCTTTTAGGGACAAAATTTAAGGGGTTCACGCGATGCCTCTTTCAAGTGGCCCGGCCAATCAGTTGAATGGAAAAGTTTGTTTACTCCGTCTCACCTCCGTGGAGGTGAGGAACTTTTTAGCAGAAGAATTTTGTGTTTTGACTGAAGGCAACTTTTAATAATTGATAGGTGCAGATCCCCATCACTAATCTCTCAATAGTATTAATGATTTCACATACTACTAATAAATCCACAAATTAGTTACCATAGCAACAAATATTTTTCGTGTTTAATTTCCTAAGCTGAATGTTTCAGGGAGAGAGTAGATTTAGTGCTACATAAATTATTACAGTAGCGTTAATCTGGATTCATCATGTTAACTTTGGGGAGGGACGCATGGCCTGTCCAACTTCATCACCTTCAAAAACAGGTTTTACTTTCTCAGAAGCGGAATTGAGGATAGATTACAAGTGAGTTAATGAGAGTTTTGGCATGTCAAGGCTAATCAGACAGTGATTTTTTGGCAGCTATTTTTGAAAGTGAACAAAGACCCCAAACTGCCAGTCTTATTTGATGAAAATGAATATACTACTTAAATCCTGAAAAATTTTGTTCAAGTCATATCTGACGACAGAAAGGAGTCACAACATTAGGGTATGACCCGGAGGAGGAGCCTTAAGTGCTGGCAATACCAAAATGAAGGGTTAAGTTGAACCCTTACGGTATTAAATGCCCCCCTGCCCTTTGAGCGTCGACCCCGGCGCTCCGATTGGCCAGCCTCCCACGTCAACCACCGCAATTTATTCGGTGCGGTGGGGAGAAACACCCTCGGGCACACCGTGACAGCCATCTTTGGGCTTGAAATTTTGCATTCATTTGTGGATAGACCTGTCAATACTTGTAAGCCCTGTTTCATTTCTCTATAGACTAACATGCCTGTGTGAAATCGCATCTCCATTTTGGATCATTTTATTTGGTAAAATAACAGGTTTGAGGAGAAACTGGAGCGTGGACAATACTCTTCTCTCAACAAAAATGTATTTTCTATTAGAATTTGTGTAGGCACCCTCCTGGCACAATCTACCGAAGCAGACAATACAGGACTGTAAATAATGCAAATTTGGACAGCTACCATCTCCCTTCGCTTCTGCGCAATGATCTTTGAAACGGCGCAAAACAAAATGAAAATAATTTATTATCTTTACCGAGAAGCAGTAGCTCATTATACCTCCTCCATTTGGCTGGGATGTGTCAAGTCGGACCTGTACGGCGCAAAAATTGGCATTTCTGCTTTCATAAGTTAGAACAAGTTCTAAAGCCATTTGTAAGACATAATATATGCGGGATGAATATTACATTGTTCGGGAAGACTGCCCGTTTGCGGTATCTAACCTTCACCAGTCCTGCTCATCTTCAAGCTCTTTAAGGAGAAGCCGTTGTCACATAAGATTTATAAATTAACCTTCCCATTTTTGGCTAAAGCAGAAAGAGGACACAATACTAGGGCACAAAGAATGAAGGGCTACTGGGACTGCCCGGCGAGGGTACAATGGCTGAGCACCCAAGTGTCCGGCCACCAAAATCGAGGGTTAAAAAGGCAATTAGAGCATTACGACTGCGCACTGAAGATATTTTTGATTTCTAAAGTAGTAAAGAGTCATAAGGGAGGGGGGGGGGGGTCATCTCTTGCCCTTGTAGCCACCGCTGCCCCAAAGCCAGCGGTCACAGGGCCGCATAAAATAAAAATGAAGAACCTTTTAAATCTGAAAATAAGCTTTTTTTTACTAATTACCAAGACCAGTGAAGAATGAAAACATTCCTGAACAAGTTTTACCCCTATATCATCATCCGGCTTGGGTGCCGCCATCAGGGTGGCCGCTATGTAAACCTGACGAATTTACCATGGCCTACAATTTTTTTCCTTATATCAAAAAAACTTAAGCCTAAATATTTTCTCCAGTAACAAAATAAACAAGGTTTTTAATGTGTCATCACCGAGCCAAAACCATTACCCAGAGCACTGTAACTGTCAAGCGAGGCCTACTGATGCTCGTTTAAGACGCAGCTTCCCAACTCAGCTACTGGGGGAAACTGCATACACAAACTTGCCTCAAACAAGACGAATGTTTAGTGTCAAGAGAGGTGACAAGTGTCTTCTTTTTCCGCTTCTTCGAAAGTACACCAAACTTATCGCTTCCATTCAGAAACAGGTGATCTGATTCTGCGGGATTGGGGTACCCTCCTTCTCCCTCTCTTCCTCTCAAAGTTTAAACTACCTTCTTCTTATCGCCCAACTATTCGATAAGCTTTAAAATTTAGAAATAGATACTCAAATAATGTAATTGCATTAACATTTGAAGAAGTGGCAATTCTGTATGGATGACAAATGGTGCATAAAAAAGGGGAGACTGAAGGCCTCCAAGACAAGCAGAAGACCGAATTTCAAATCACGTTTGAGTAAGGGATTTTGGGATACAATTGGGGACTAGAAGATGGCTTAGTGCGGCGGCTCTGGAATATGGGAAGAGGTAGCGAAAACAATTCTGAAATGTCCTACCTTGATCTTAAAAAAAGACAAAAGTAAGATAAAACAAACGATTATGGAATTTGATAAACATGAATGAGTGAGCAATTGTTACCTTATTATTGAGAGCAAGTTTACATTAGCACTCTTAAAGCGTATTCGTACAAATTGTGATTTGGACTTATTCGTAACAGAAAAGGAAAGAGGCAATGTCTAGGTAATTCTTGTTACTGGAAATAAAAAATTAGCTTTTGAGCAGTTTCACTCTCGCAAAATATATACAAAATAACAGAAAGGGCTTTTAAGCTCAACACCTCCTCAAAAGGTCTAGCTCGCATCACCCAGTCGAGTGGACCAATCAAATGCTGCGACAACTGGGCGACAGCCAATAGGTGAGTGAGGAAATTCACTGGAAGTGCTGCTTACTTATCCCTCTCTCATACGGGCACACAACTGTTGGCGTATTGCACGAAGTATGAAGTGGTGCATAGTCAACCTCCACTTCCTTGTCACAGCGTCCCTTCTACAAGTTTCACTCATTTACACCTCCAGCTTTGATTACAAAACCGCTTCGACCACGTCGGCCAAAGTACGCGCCGGGACGTCACAGACTGCCTTGACGGAATGCCACCTACAGGTTGAATGCTCGGCTCCACAGCCCTCACACATGACAGCAAATGATAGCGAGCCCTTGGGAGTGGTCAGAAAGATCCGTATTCCAGTTCGGGCAGCAAGGGGTCCGCAGGGTCCCAGAGGCCTTCGTGGACCTGCTGGACCCCGAGGACCCCCAGGATTCAGTCCCGAAATTAATGAAGATATTGTCACTAGTGAGTTGTTTTAGCAAATACTTTGACAAGTTTGTTTGAAAAAAGATATGAGTTTCAAAATAGTGTGTAATTTATCTGCTTTAATAAATTGTATGCTATCTTAAAATTCCACGCATACATTGCCTTAAAAATCAACAAACATGGAAAAAGTCACTTTTTATTTTCGGTTGATATATACTTTGGTTTTTAAATTGGCACAGAAGGATTGCCCAGGAAAGTAAGAGAGGTGTCAGTGCAAACATGACAGATACGATGCATTTGACAACTTTTAAAATTTTCTTTACTCTCAAGGGTTACAAGTCCTTTCTTCTTTTCAAAAACCTACCCTGATAAATACGCCTCACAATAAAATATTTTCCTGAAGTTGTTTCTTATAACAAATTAATTTGTCTGACCTAAATAACTGCGCCTGATATGATTAGGTAATCCCTAAAAGATTGGTTTTTGAACAAACAGTGCATATAAGCATTCTTTGAATATTTTTTGCTATAATTGCTTTCTAGCAAATCATTTTACACTAAATAAATTATTTTTCTAGACTTGATTGTTTGAGCCTACAAAAAACACCAGAAGGTCTCAGTTAGAGCTGGCTGTGAACCTAATTTATCATCATTACTAAGGGTGCATTTAAATCACTTCATCCAAGTTGGATGCTATAGCGAGAGGAGAGAGGAACGCTTATCCTCTGGCCACCTAGTGAGTTGTAACACGTAGACTGTTCGGAACACCAAGAAACAACTTCCAAGGTTATTCCGCCTCGTAGCTCAGCGGAATTCGTGCGCCACATTTGAAAATGTCGGGGAAGAGTGATCTCAATGAAAGCCACTGAACAGGCTGAAAGGCGCTAAAAAAGGGGTGCGATATTATCACCACTGATATTTGCAAACCGCATAGCTCGCGGCGTAGTACCCAAGTGAATGGGAGCTACGTGACTTGGGCTTTAGGTGCCAAAAGGGTGGTGATAAAAGTGGCTTTACGATTGGATTCAACTATTGCCAGATCACACAATCGTATACAAAGACCAGACTGCTATCTGATGCTTTGAATTCTTTCATCGGTCCAGATGTGGTCTCTCTATTGAGCTTTAAATGCCTCAAAGCCAGTACCAAAGCACATCTATTTTCCCCTATTCTCTCCCTCATTTTTGAAGCTACTTTAAGAAAGCGGTATAAATTAGTTATAGATAAAATTCTTTTCTACCTGTTTGTTTGCTTAATTAATATTGAGAGTTAAAAGGCTATGGCTTGCGAAGCATTGACAATAAGTGCCATCACTGTAAAAACCATCGAGAGAGAGAAACAGAACCGTATTTATCTTAATAAACAAAAGAAACAATTGCAGATAGTTGAAAAATAAGAACAATAATCATCATATAGAGGGCGAGCCAATAATTCCTCGGATAATAGAATATGATTTATGTCAAATCAAAAAGGAATCGCGCCTAAAAGAACAGGACCTATTGGCATTTTTTTCCCTAAAAATTATTTTGAAGGATTATTGATGAGAGTACGGAATTTAGCGGCTTTCCAGTAATCAGTCTTTGAAGAATGAATAAGTTTGTTTCTATGCTCCAATATATATTATGGCGAATAATTTAAATATTAGGTGATAAAAATGTTACAGAGTGAATACTTTAAAGTAGCTGGGTAAGTCAACAAGAGAGTTTTGCTTATCTGCTGAAATCAGGAGAACGTGATTGAGAATGCTCCACCGGGGTATTTGCACTTCAAGCGTAGGGAAGCTGAAGGTGAATGCAATGCAAAAAATCTTTTCAGCTAAACTTTTTTTGGTACTAAGAGATGCAATCGCACAAGAAAGTGGATCTGCATCGCAAATGGAGTGCTGCAAAGTTCAGCAAAAATACGAGTGAAAGCCTTTCTGCCTGAAATAAATAATGAAGCTACCAATATAGCGAGAAAAATTTATCCGAAATATTGGAAAGTCCAGATCTGGTATAGTTTATTTATTGAATGAGTAACTAGTTTTGTTTTGATCTTGCTAATTCCTTTCTGCATATGAGAGGCAGTATACAGGCATAAGAAAAGGAAGGATTTTGCCCGAAGTAGGGATAAAACAACCACGCGATTTCCTTTAAATAGCTTGTGGGTTAGAGTCGCTGCTTTTTTTGAATATAACCCTCTTTTGGAATACCTGTTTACTATTGTCTCGACTTTACTTTTGCACCAATTAGAAATTAGTCGTGTTTACTAGGCCAGGCAATCACTACCTTAAATGGGAACCCGCAAAAGAGGCGGCAAACTCTCAAAAACTCTTATTAGCAAAAAATTTGGCAAGTACTTGGTTGATACTTTTGATATTTTTTGTTTTTTAAGCGTTTAAACACAAGGTCTTATTCCGCAAAATTTGTTAACATGGGCTAAATGAAAAATTACCAAAGGCCGCATTTTGTACCAAATATTAAGGCGCTACGTCTGAGTCCTGTACTTTTACTGGTATGCGTAGATTTTAACAACTGAACACGGTGCGCCCTGAAGAGACTTGTTTTTTATGTTTTTTGAGGCTTCTTACAACTCGAGACATTCCAAAACGTTGGTGGGTCTCTCATAGGTCATCGTTTGTAAGACCGAATAACAAAGTCTAAATGATGTGACGGGTAAAAAAGAGGAGTAATTTGTCAGTTGGAAGAAGAAGAATTAGAGTTGCTCACTTTGTCTGCTGGACCATTTTCCCCCAAATTTGCTCTTTTGTTTTAAATTTACCTGAGTGAGGCTTGTCAAAATCTACCTAAGGTGGTTTCAAGGAAAGAGCTTCTTGGAATTACGAGCTGGTGTTTTAGTTGTGATTCTGCTGTCTTCTAAAGTGATACTTGATAAAAAGTATTATAAAATTAGTTATGGAACAAGTCTAGCAAAAGGCACCTCAATTTTTGCTCATTTTAGTCGTTTGGTTTACCATGCCTGACCGTGAAAGTAGATATAGTGAAGACCCATAGGACTTTGCGGATGCTGTTGTCTCCTGTCTTTTTTTTGTTATATTTTTATTAATGAGAACAAAAATATTTATTTTGATGCTCTTACTATTTTTCTGCACCTTGCCCCTCTCTATTGGCGGAATGTTATAACCATTACCATGAAAACAATTTAGACGAATGAAAATGACTTTTTGGCTAGATCTAATTGATATCAATCTCTGAATACATAATATTTATAAGACAAAAAATGTGGAAATAAAACATAAACCTAATGCTAAAAGTAGTTTTACAGAGCCATACTAAACTAACATACGAAAACAAATCTTCAAACAAATAAAGTGATGAAATTTTTCTATAATTCTAGAATGAATGAGTCGGTTTAATGTCTAGCACGCTTTGAACTGTGACTTGGGACTCTTATTAGACAAGACAATCATTTCAATCAAGCGTGTGCTTTATGTATTTTATCACGCGATATTCGCTAAATTCAAATCAGACCGGCTGACATGGAGGGAGAGGCGAAGTGTCTGCGAAGGTGTCATGAGCTTCCGCACAAGTAAATCCGCTTTTCTTTCCATATTTTTCCCGTCATTCAAAAGCTGATCAAGTGTCTATCAAGTACCGATTTATAAACAACTAAATGCTGCCATAGTGGGAAGAAATGCAACTACTTTGTCAGTTTTTTCCACATTTCGAATTTATCATATAATGCAACCCATATAAATGATAATGATAGTAAAATTTACAACTTGTATCATCTACTTCACTAATAAAGTGTCCTAGTCATGAATTTGGCAAGATATATTGCTCCAAAGAGTGCGATTTAATGCATCACGTCTGTTCGTATGTGAGGCGAACGAGGGGGATGAAGTTTTATGCAAGAATTATGCACTCACAAATACCCATTAATTTTGCCTCAATCTGCTTGCGGCAGAGACCGACTAGAAGGTCCGCTTCCACACGCAAGACTTGGAAAGTCGCCGCATTTTATTGTCATTTTAAACCACAGGCACGTCAGTGGGTTTGCGGGTTTTAAAATGAGATTCTATTGCTAAAATACACTCATCATTCTTACCCCTCCCTTCGTGTTAACGTTCCATTCCCGTCCCCCTTCCCATTTCACCCTTCTTCTACGATTCTCCCCCTCCCCCCTACTGACCTAGTGACTGCAACTGACACGTCCTCCGTCTTTCGCTTCAGACGGTCGCGTAAAAAGACGTGTGACCAGTCAGCGTCTGCCTAGCTACACACCTCCTGAGCGTCATTTCATAGTTTGGAGGTTGGAGGAGCAGAAGGACTATGAGGACATCCACATTTTGGAGCTACGAGTAGGCACTCATGGCTTCAGTGATCGTCTAGCAAGCCTTGACGATTTTGCCGGCACTTGTTCCATTGAAATGGTGCGACCAAATGCAAGTGGTGCCCAGTACTGCGATTCCCTCGAATCCATGCTGCCCGAATTGATCTCCACCTCAGTGGGCATCGTCATTGACTGGGACGCCATTGAGGGCACCACTGAAGATGAAATTTGGCGAGCGTTTCAAAACCGCTTAGTGGATGAGACCATCTTTCGGCCCGTGGTTGCAGCCTATTCGGCACAATTTCGCTCAGCGGAGGCTTTCTCAGCATGGCAGAGGAATTCGCAAGACAACACTAGACGGAGGGATTCAGAGACAAATGTTGGGTGCAAACCTAGCCCACTTGGCAGCCAATTTCTGCTCCTCCTAATCTATGGCTGGCTTCGGATGAAGATATTTTAAAACTTCACGATCCCCTTCTACTCTGCTCTCATGTATATATCTCATGACAATCGAATTGACAGGCGTGACATTGATCACTTCATCACCTTTACACAGATTTCACTTCCTTCTCTTTCAAAACAGATTGCACTGTACACTCCTCCCAAAAACGGTAAGGGAGATAATATCTGAGTGGAAGATGTGTGACAATAAATTGTAGGCCACGATACCCGCCGACCCGAGATTATCCGCCTGGTCTTACGACAAAAAGCGCGACATGGATTTGACATTGACTCAGAATAGATGTTTGTTTTTTGTACAGAGTAGAATTAAACGGATTGGAGGATTTTTGCGCACTAGATGCACTCTTTTTAAAACCCCTTTTGGTGTGTGTGTGTGTGTGTGTTTGGACAAATTTCTAAGCTGCCCCATTTTCTTTAAGACTGCCCCTAGGAATGGACCAAGTGCTCAGCTCATTGTCAGAGGCACCTTCAAAAAGCATAGAAAGGTTGGCTAGAAGTGTCAGCAGTTTCACTGGTGGATAACGATGGGCAAGGAGGCAGCAAAAGCGCTCTTTCGCTCAGGCCCTTTAATCGCACCCACATCGAGAGTTGTACGACGCTGATTCGGTGTAAAATTAAACTAAAGCGCACGAAACCGTCATTTGAGTTACAGATTTCATGCCAATCGCACGATGACGATGATGGTATGAGATCAAAGAAAATAATGCAGAACAGCCCGAATGCGGGCTTATCTCTCCCTCACGTGAGATTTAAAACTACACCTGGGGAGTGTAGAACACAAAGTTCGGTGGGCTAGAAACACAGAGTCCGCGTTAAGGAGGGGAGAGAGATTTGAAAAGAGGGGGAGTGAGAAAAAAGCGATCCATGTGGTGAAAATGTCTACTGGTGGCCTCATCACCGCATGACCGTGTTGACACGGCTTTACCGATGCCCACGAGACCATTTGTAACCTCCTCACTCCATGTATACACACACACACACACACACTCACACCCTCATTCACATGCTCTCTCACGCAATGAGGTAGTTAATCTTTCCCGGGACTGCACAGAGACAAGCAGGCAGAAAAGTTGGCGACCACGGCGTTGCAGTCTTCGCCCTAGGAGCGCAGCCTCAGTGCTCGGAAATTATTCCACTTTTTCTCGCCCGCAACACAGCAGCCCACTGCAAGTGATGATAAATTTGAGCCGAAGGCTCTCACAAGCGGCCTGTTTTCCCATTCCCAAAAGTGTTAGCAGTTTAAACCAAAATGGAAGCGCATTTATGAAGTTTTTGTTTTAGGAATTCAGAAGGCGCGCTTTAACATGCACCCCTAAATGGCCTCGCTCCATCTCCACCTACTTTAACAAGGTGGAATCGCCTTTCTACCGACCCTTGAGGAAACCTAATGTTGAAGGGAACCACATTTAGCTGTCTATGCATACAAACTCTACAATCGGGCATAATTTTGCCCCTGAATCGGTATCTGTGAATGCATTTCTCT